ACTTCATTTAACTATTTCCACTCTTCCGGAATTCATCAAAAATATCTTAATTTGTGTTCTGAAGATGAACGAAGGTCTTACGGGACTGGAACGACATGAGGGTGAGTAATTAATGACAGAATTTTCATTTTTGGGTGAACTATCCCTTTAATACATCTAATTCAAGACATTCTCTCATTTCAAAAAATGATGTGATCTAGCAAAATATATCGCCTACACCTGGATTTCCACAACTTTAGCCTACAGTTGGTTCACCCTCCGCCTATGACAGAGTAGAAGTATACAAGAAAGAAATTACTTCTGACTCTTACAGAAACAGTAAAATGCCTTTTATGACACATAACTGCATAGAGGGACACAAGAGTGTTGTGTTCAAAGACTTGCCTTGTGCTGACAGACATAAAGAGAGAAGGGACATTCATAATTCAAAGATGGGTGGTGGTGGTGGGGGTTAATCCCTCTCCATCTGCCTAACAGCACCTCTCCCTCCCTCAACACTGGCCTCAGATCCACCTGCACTGAACCAGGGGCTCTCAGCTAAAGATTTGGGCTGACCTGCATGAAGGCTCCCTGCAGACTTTGCTTCCCTGTCTTCCAAATCGCCAATGCCTGACTTTGAAGTTTCCAGAAGGAGAGACTCCGACGGGCCTGCAATCTCACCAACATGGCTGTTCTCAGGATTAAGGGACACAGATGAGGCAGGAGGTGCTTCCTGGCTCCAAATGTGCAAGCTTTTTCCCCCCATCCCCAGCGCTGATGGATTAACAGACAAACTAAAGGCAGCAGAAAACACACACAATGCACAAAGTGTAATGTGGCACCTAAGAAACCAATTTGTGAATAAGGACAGAAGGAGGGGGGGGCGCTGCTTTGGTCCATCACTCCCCTTTTCTCTTCATCCTCCTGCTACTCTGCTTGTTCTTTTAACGCCATTTTCAGTTCTGCACACCAAAAAAGGAATAAACTCAATCTGAAAACTCAAGAAGCTTCTTATAAGGCTTATAAAGCAATATTCTCTTTGCATAATTTGCAAATTTTTGTTGTATTATTGACATACAGTACAGTGAACAAAAAAAAGCAATTGCCTATTCGGAGAACAAAATGGTTGCAACATTTCAAACAAAATGACATGCTGCTCAAAGGGAAAATTTCATTGAGTGAAATTGGCTAACACAGACTCTCATCACCCCTGAGGAAAAAGTAAATGCCCCCTTAAATTTAATATCTGGCTAGACAACATTAAACAATAATAACGGCAATCAAACACCACCTGTAATTTGATATGATCCTTTGTTTCTTTTCAGTACTTCAGATGTCAACTTGACTCTGTTTTGGATTATTGTCCTGCTGTATCACACAATTACACTTAAGCTTCAACTCATGGTCAGATGCCCAGACAATCTCTTAAAGAATGATCTATATATGGTTGAATATAAGCTACTTTCAATGATAACAAGTCACAGAGGCCACCACGGACAGCAAAACATACCAAGTCAACCATAATGCCACTGTACACATCACTTTCTTACAGTACAATGCTGTATTTGCTATTTACATTTTCACTCATCTGACCATAGAATAAACCAAGGTCTTGGGATCATGACATGCTTTCTTTAACAAACATGATGTGAGCTTTGATGTTCTTCTTGGTGAGCAGAAGTTTTCACCTGGATACTCTTCCTTAAAGTCAGTTTTTCACAGTCCCTTTCCTATTGCGGAGTCATGAACCGTGACCTTGGCTGAAGCAAGAGAAGCCTGTAGTTCTTTGAAAGTTTTTCTGTGATAATTTGAAGCTTTCCAGATGAGGTGCTAGTGTGCCCTTTGAGAAATTCTGACCACTTTTGGGAATATTCACCACTAAAGGCCCCGATATACTTCAAACGAAATCGAAGAACGAACTGATATGGCATCATTGAACAAAATCAGGCTGAAACGAAGTTCATTTTGAGTTAGTTTCGGCAGTTCGAAACACCGTGCGTCGCGACACATGTTTACATTAATCTACACCCCGCCTCCAGCAGCACGGGGGTGTTGGAATGTTCGAAAACAGTATACCGTCGCTCAGCCTTTTCGAACTTCTTTTTGCCCTCAAGCGAAGAACGAAAAATAACTTTGTTTGAAGTATATCGGGGCCTTTACTATGCTGCTGCCTAAGTGTTTTCCGTTATATAGGTTGTTACTATGCTCTTGCAAAGGTGTTTTCAGTTATTTAGCTTGTTACTGTGGAATTGCTGAGGTGTTTTGAGTGATTTAGGACATTACTACTGTTGCCAAGGTGTTTTGAGTGATTTCGGTTGTCACTGTGGTTGCTAAGGTGTTTTTTTTTTTTTTTTTGGCACATTGTTCACGGTTGCCAGGGTGTTGTGGGAGACTCTTACCAGTCCAAGTCTCTTTGCAAACATCACTAATAAAGTTGTGCAGCAGGACAAACATTGTATCTAACCAGTGATCAGTTCAGGACATTTTCCAGCGCGAGTTTCTGACTGAATGCTTTTACTGTGCCGTTGGGCCATTAAACTCAGCAGTTTCACAGATGAACCTTTCCATTCTGCCCGTCCTGTCCGTGTTGGTCTGTGCTAGTCTCAACAACACACTGCTACTGAGAGATCTCTCTACCCTTCATCATCTACATGAACTGTGACGCTATGATGCTACTTTCAACTGCAAGAGTGTCTACAAAACCCCTTTTTTGGGGTAAATTTTTGCTTTTAAAATGGAGAATACAATAAAAATGCCCAGTCAGTACTGTTTTTCCTATATGCAATATACCGTTTTCTTGACGCTTTTCTGTGTCACAGTGAAAACTCAGGTTTGTTTCTCATTTGGAAAAGCTTCTCCCACGCTAGTAGCCTTAGAGGATAATTTGCACAAGTCCAGATTTCTGTTGAGAAGGTTTTACAACAAATGAATGTATTCCTACACATCCCACACTTTTATGAAGATTCAGCAGTGGAGCTATTGTGTGCAAAAAAGTAATTACTCATGTCGTTTTGTCACTCAAGACTTATCAACAGGCCTTAAAGTCAACAGTAAATGAAAATGACCCTCGTTCCCACTTAGTAGATGTTCCTGTAGGGCTGTGACGGTGGCAGATTTTTACCACCGCCGGTGGCGTGGTGTTGATATAAATATATATATATATGTATGTATTGGTGTCAAAATTAGCGCGTTAACGCAGGCGATTAATTTTTTCAGTTGTTCCTGGTCTCATTGTGTATGATTTATCAGTAAAGTCTTCATAATATTTTAACCCCCCGTTTCACAGACAAGACTTAGACTTAGTCCCAGACAAAAATGCATGTCTGGGCTGTTTTAACTGAAAGAAACTTGCACTGACTGATCTTAAAATGTCAGTGCCATTGTTTTGTCTCAAGATGCACACCAGTAATGTTTTTATCTAAA